ATGGACATTGCTGCCAGATGACTATCATAGAAGTTAAACTTTCATCACATGTCACTCAACTAGTCAAAAACCCCAGGCTCCTAGTAACCACTGAATTCACTGTGCTACCTAAGATTCTTCATAAAGAACCCCTGCTCACTTCCCAACACGATCTCCTCCATATACAGTATCCCTGATGGCAGAGAATATTGCAACTGCACTGCTGGAAGTTCCATAACATGTCTCTCACTTTCTAACACCAGCATTATCTGCTCACTTTATTCCAATTCTTCTAGAACACCTGTGCATCTCTGTCAGCCAAAATCCTATGATTCCTTCATGTCCGATCTAAAATTCCATTCCATGCTTGAAAGCTATTACGGATTCTCTCCTTAGCACAATATTACCTCTTCCTTCCCTGTACTCGTGTAACACTCTCACCCTGCTTCCTTTTGTCTTTTGCCTTCATGTGTAGTCGTTCATGTTCTTGGCATTCCACTTTATAGACTATAAGCCATGTAAGGGCAAATGTATGTTGTATTCACCTCTGGTTTTTAGCAGCCCACTGCAAGAATGTTAAGTGTTGGGTAAACATATAGTCACTTAATAAATATATCTTGAATTGGTCCTACAAGCTAAGAGTCATGATATAGAAACTCACAAAGGAAAAGTCACAGAGGTCATAGCAAAACTTCAATGTCATGAAGAGATGTTCAAAAACTTTTGGGCTTATGCAAATGATGACTGCCTACAGTGTGTGTTACATCTGTCCATATTGACTAGAATCATCCCTCACTCTATGACTTAAATGCAAGTCTCCTACTTCTAAACCTCTCTACTGCTAAGGCTAAAGCCATCCAATTATGTAGCTGAAGGAAATGCTCTTCACAAGCATGAAATGCCATGAAAATCACACAAAGAGAGATAATTACATCTAAGTACATTGTTTTACTTCCTTGGAGGAAATCCTGGTATGTGTCAGACTATGCACAAGTTGTAGAATTCAAGAATATTCTTTAAAATGTATGTTAATCATATTATTAATTAGAAATGGAAAATGGAAAGAGAATAGGAACTAATATTAATTAGCAATGGATAACTTAAATCTCTTATCTCATTTAATCATCAAAATTACCCAGTGAATTTATCTTCATCCTACAAAATAAAAAATGGGAAAGGGGGAGGACCTCAGAAATAAACTCCCAATTTAGGCTCAGTCAACTTCAAACCCAGGTGTCCATATAGTTGATATTACACCACACCACCACCCAGAAAGTAAGAAAGAGAAACAGGTAGGCATGAAGTGGTCACTAAAACAAAAGTCTATTTTGTGGTGCTGAGTAGAGAAGGGGAGATTAAACAGATGTGTGATATATGAGCTGCATAATTTAGTGTTCATCATTTATTGAGTGTATTGCATATATATTTTTGTTTTTGATATTCAGAAAATGATTAACTTCATCCATTCTTATTTTCCTAGCCAGGATGTTGAAGTTCAGTTGGCCGATGTAATCTCAAGAGACTAAAAATCATTTTGTAGTATTGCCATGTAGGTGTGGAAAATAATCAATTAACTGTATTTACTTAACCTTGAAGCCGGAATTTTGAAATTGAGTAACTCCTGAAATTATCATAGTAAACTTTTTCTATGTTCTTCTCTCTTTCTGACAAACTATTTTGATTTTTATAAATTTTTTTCACAAGAAAAATGAACCTGAAATTATTGTTTAAAATGTAGTCTTTGATCTTTTTTTATATTTTATTAAGATTTTTAACTTTGTCCATGAGTAAGTTTCTGCTGAAGGAGACAGTTTATGCTAATCTTAGTACTAAAATGTGTCATGATAATTTTTACTTATTACTCATAATTTTCTGATTCTGTCATTCTTCGTTTTAGTTTTGTGTTAAAGAAATTTAAATTTAATCATAACTTAAAACTGTTCTCTGTTGAAAAATTTTTATTGGGTTTTAATAGGATTCTAAACCAGAATAGTGAAATGCTATGGAATCCAAAAATAATAGAAATTTAGTAGACTAAATTCTTTCTATATTGAATTAAGAGTTTCTATCTACTTAAATTATATATTTAAAAAAACAGATCTCCTGTATAGTATTTATAATGAGTATTAAAGATATTGATGTACAATTCACCTTAGCATTTTTGTTCACTTTAAGTAAATTTAAGNAAAAAAACAGATCTCCTGTATAGTATTTATAATGAGTATTAAAGATATTGATGTACAATTCACCTTAGCATTTTTGTTCACTTTAAGTAAATTTAAGGAGATCAGAAATGCTTATGTTTTCTTCTAGAAGTGCTTTTTGCCTTGGATTTCAGTGGAGCTGTGTCTCAATAAGAGTCAGACACCTCCATCTGGTGGTCCAGTCAGAAAATTCCCAGGCTATACTTTTTTCAAGACATTCTAATTATGTATTAAGTTTAAAATTTCCTAGTTTTTGAATTAATGCCTTAATCATACTGAAAATTTATTTCTCAAAATTTATTTCTTATGCAAAAGTGAATGGTATTCAAAATAATGAGTGAACTTTAAGAAGCTAAGCATTGTCCTACAAGTCACTGCTAATCATGAAACACAAATTCATTCTTATGGCCAGTGGAAATAGGATTTTCTCCTATTTCTTGGAAGAGAAAAAGAGTTTCTTTTAAATTGTTTGATTTTAAAAATGTTATTTCNTTTTTATCTAATATTTCCTTCAGTTGATATGTCCCATCTCTGTCTCTTAGTATTATTTCAGGTGATTGTGGGAGTGTACTAACTATGATTAACTAACACTTCATAATATTACATCCTTTATTAAAACAACCTTTCCATCATTGTTACTTACTCTATGTTTTAAATGTCATACAGGTTGTATGTTTGCACTTTATTGTTTGGTTCACTCATTCTTTTGATTCATGTGAAGCACTCTGTAGCCATTGTTCATTGTCTAGTAAAACTCCCACATTGGGGAAATGAGAAGAAAAACATTTTTTTTTTAATGTATCAATATACAATGTAGGATTTTCATGTCCCTTTCTGAATTCCTCCAACATGCTCAATTAAAAAAACAATGAATTATTTTTTCAGAATATAATGTATCAGTATAACCAAAAAGGAAATGTTCCTGTTCTTTTCAGAGACGAGCTGCTGATAATTTGAGAAGACATCACCA